AACAAAAACTCAAAATACAAAACTCAAAATGAATTCAAAACTCAAAACACAAAACTGAAACACAAAGAGAACACCCCCTAAGCAACTTATTATCTGCCGGTTATAACTCCCTCTCCTACCGGAGGACTCCAGCAGAAATTCTCAGAATCGTGTACAGTACCGGTGACGAGCACATTCCCAGTGGATTCTTCCCGGAGGAAGCCAATGGAAAAATAGCCCAGGAACTTCTCAGAGAGCCGTAGTAAAGACACTAAGTATATGTTTGATGCAAAATATTGAACATATACTACTATTCTCTCTTCTATCAAATAAGTGTGACTAAAGAATCCTTGCTACTTTATGCATTCAGTAATTTGTTCGATTATTTTTCCAGTATCTCAAAACAGATTTATGTGAAACAACTAAATTAAAATTAAAAACAATTAAATATCTCAAAAGCACATAAACACCACCAAAGCTTCGCAAAGGTCAAATAGTATCAATTTTAATTGCAAACATTAAATTTCAATCCCAGCCCATAATTGAAGCTTCACACATAAAAATCCTAAAATAAACCGAAAAAGGGCTCTGAATGAATTGAGATCAGAAGTTCACCAACCAGATCACTGCTGTCGAACTTCAACTTTCTTTTTCTGCCAGAGCCTATCAAGAGCACTGTCAGCATCACCCTGCAAAAAGTTTTTTTCCCAAATCCGAATTGGTACGATGCTTAATTACAGGCATAATGATATGAAAGAGATAATGTAATATTTGGCATCAAAAGAAATTATAACTAAAAATCCTCAAACCATTTGATTTCTTGCATTCTCAAATCTTGCACCCTTCCTCGTTTACATAATATTACGTCTCTCCATTATATTATTACCAAATAAAGAAATAATTGACTTAAAATGAACTAGTGGTTCTAGCATTTTCACGACATAGCAGCAGCAAATTTTCTTTCCTTTGAGTTGGTTGGGATACCAACTTACAGCAACAACAATAATTGCAGCTCTCTCTTTTATAGTTTTATATAACAAACAAATATCCAAGATATTCACACAATTACAAGTGAATAGCATAGATAATAAGAATTTCTTGCTTTGCAATGAAAATATATATGATAAAACAAAGAAAAGAGAAGAAAAAACATGCTACAGCCAGTGGCCCACAAAAGCAGTTATATTTTAACATGGCCAATTGATGGTTAACATTTGAAATATACACTAGAGTTCAAGTTGATTGAATGAAGAGAAATTGATTAAGTAAAAGAGAGACGAAAAATGCATGAGCTGTTCTACAAAATTCTGAGAAACATGAGTTTACATGGTAAAATAAGAAATCCTTCCAAGATATAGTATTCACCAATCACTGGTTGTGTAAATATTCAAAAAATATATTCTTTTCATAAATAGAGTTGTTGTCTTGTAATGTAGCTTGTTTGCTACTGTTGTATGATGGAATTCCAGAAAACTCAAAGCTAAGGAATTGCAACTGTCGAAGTTGGTTCCAAACAAGGGTTAGTTAATGTAGATTCAAAATATGAGCAATGAAACTTCTGGGAGTAGAATGTAGACTCAGGTCGAATGGAAACACTACAAGCCTAATGTTTCCGTTCTGTCTTTCGAGGATTTTCTTGGATCATTTGGTTGATAAATTGCTTGTGCATATGTATTAATACATTCAAGTCGTGGTTTTTGGAAAGAGATAACATTCGAAGTTAACTAGAAGTAGAAACAATTTTTACTAGAAGCAGAATTTAAAAAAAAAATAAAAATAAAAATAATTAAATAAATAAATAAATAATAAAAAATTGTAAAGTAAGTTTTTAATCTATTGATCCCTCCAAACTGAATCCCAACAAGTTGGGACAAAAACACCGAGAATAAACAAAATAATGCCAACATCCATTCAATCAATTTGCTTATCAATAAAAATAAATTTTCAACAAATTATGATAACAATAATAAGAGTGACTCAAACAAATAACTACCACTTTTTATCGAAATATAAAACAGCAGAAATTTGCAGCTTTTCAATTCCAAACTGGCAAAACTGGGGAAAATATTACCTGGGCACGAACAAATCCACAAAGAGCAAAGGTGGAGAACTGGCCAGTGTATCGGCCAGTTTCATCCAGGTGTCCAACATTGATCTGGACAGATGCATGATCCTTAGAAGTGATCAGCCTGTTTGTGGCAGAGCTGCACCACAACCGTAATTATTAAGCCCAGAACCCATGTGAGGATGGAACATTTAATTAAAAAAGCGCTAACAGTAGCTGTATAAAAAATATGCCTACCACTTCCTGGGGATGTAGAGATCCATGTTTTGTCCTTCTTCATTCTGCATCTTGGCTAATTGTCCTAGTATTCAAGGAATTCACAAAGCTGAGAGCACCTGAATCCACAGAAAGCTCAATAAAATACCCAAAAAGAAAGCAACGAACTAAGTACTTCTGCCCATTAATAATCTATACACTGAAACTGCAAGGAATTCAGCGTGTTTTTATTTAACAATTTTTTACCTAAATACTTTTCAATCAATAAACCAGACTAAGATTATTACTCCTTCTGTCCAATAAAGATAGTCCTATTTCTTTTTTCACACGGATTAAGAAAATTTAATTAATATAGTTGAAATAATAAATTTTATCATCATTTTACTAATATACCCTTACATTAATGCAATCAATATTCAAAGTAATTAAATTATGCATGCAACATTCAAGGTAATTAAACTATATATTTATGATAACAAAGCAGATTAAATAGGGGCATATTAGAAAATTAATATATCAATTACACTCTCAAATAAGAAACGGGACTATAATTTGGGACAAATGAAAAAGGAAGACGAGACTATCTTTACCGACGAGTGAGTATAAATTATCCAAGAGGTGCGAATCATTTACCCAAACTAAAAATAAATGTACATAATCTGTTAGGTTTATTGTTAATTTAATTGTTGAATCCTGTTCTGCAGAGGCCTGAATTGATTAATATACTGATGCACATAATATATTACCAAAATATTCTTCAAAAGTCCATTATAAAGACAAAATTTACTTCACTGTACAGGAGAATTTCTTGCATTCAACCACAAAATAACACTTGAAACAAAGTCCTTCAACAAATCTTAATCAGAAAATAAACTTATCAAACGGAACTTGTCACATGATTAACGTAAGTAAATATTGTTAGTTTCAAATTGCTAATGTAAATATACTCGTAGCTGTGTATCTATATTTCGATCTACATGCGGATGATGAAGTTAAAGAAGAAACAAGAGAGTACCAGTCCCAGAATACGCAGGTGAAGACGCGCGAGACAGAGAGATCAGCCGGTTGGGGGAAGAAATCATCTTTTCACTAATTTATTTTATATGTACGTTAAGATGAAGAAAAAACCCTAGGTAAAATTACATATTGACCCACGGCCTTTGGCTCCTGTTGCAGAATAGTTTCCAACTCTCAATCGTGTTTAATCCTAGGAATCTCAATCGTGTTTAACCCTAGAAATATGCTACTTATACATAATTCTGTATTTATAAAGGTGTTCATCCCCTTACATGGAGGAGGATTCACTTTCAATAAAATATAATTTATTCAAAATTGGTCCCCTTCATGTAAGAAGGGTGGATACCGCTATGGATATCTTGATATATGTATAGCATCATTCTTAATCCTAACTGATGCTAACAAAAATTTTACTTGCAGATTTTTCGAGTTTAATGATTTGGATTGAGCACGATCACAGTCTTTCGGTACCTGAAACAAAGGCAACAAGGTATGTTCTCGTCGCCCCTCCGATGTTTAAGTCAGAAAGGATTTTATATGCTTGAGATTATAAACTGGAGAATAATGAAAACGTATCTGAATAATAGCTCAAGGTTCTGTATTTATAGTAGTAAGCGATATTCACCTAGTGGGACTCAAATAATTGGGTATCTCTATCCAACGGAGTCCTATTAGGCGAAGGAACTGGACCAATGCCATAATTATGTGTGGGATAGAATCTTTACGGGAGTAAAGTATATGGTTGAGTTAGAGTCCTAATTGCATAGGAATTCTAAAGAGTCAACAATTGTAAGTTATGAGGAGAGCATATATACTCAAGGACTATTTATGCTTGAGGACAAGTATCGTAACATGTTAAAGCAGCAAGACAGGGAGTGCTCGAGCATAATCCCTAGGAGTGAGTATATGCTCGAGCACTCATATGTGGAATTGCAAGTTTATCCAAGATTTGTCGTCGGGATACATGATCGAGCATTCATGTAATGATATCATAAAAGGGTAGCGTAATCCTCGGGATAATATGGTGATCGGGTTATCTCGGAATGTCAGTATCATTGGCCCCCGTGCACATATACTCGAAGCCTTCGCTCGAGGATATGATGCAAAGAGGCTTGAAGGCAAAAAGCTCGGGTGCGTGAGCTCGAGGAAGTTTTTGAAGACAGGTGTTCAGAAGAGCTGACGTGTATTGAGGTAAGCCCTAAATAAGAAGAGGCTGTAAAAATGGTATGGGTTGGATGTAGGGCACGTGGCCAGATTTGACGGTCGGGATAGTGAATTTTGGGCTACCCGCTCCTGTTGCCTATAAATACCCTCTTCACATTTCATTTTTCATTTTTTACTCTCAGTAATCTTCTCTTGCTAATCATCGAGATCAGAACTTTGGTGGGGTTTTTAGGCGTCGACTTTAAGGTAAGACCTCGAGATCTTAAGTTATTCTTTAGGCACTTTTTTACCTAGGTCAGGATGTCTAGAAGTAGTAGTAGTAGTAGTAGTGAGTCTTCGACTTCTTCCAGAGGAATAATCCCGAGGACGTAGGATGCTTGATCATACCCATGGCCGTGCCTATTAATGCCCAACCTCGAGCACAAAGTATCCCGACCCATTTAGGTACCCCCAAAGCCCCTTGTAAATTTAAAGAACATCTAGCAATATCGATGGCTAGAGAGCACGGGCTCATGCCGAAGTGTGATATTAGGACGCCATGGGGAGAGGATAGGATGGCCTTTGCTCGGGATGGAGAGTTTGTAATTTTTAGGGACTC